TACACCACTTGTTATTTCCCATTTTGGGGTAAAAAAAAAAAAAGTGGTATATTTGTTTACCTATTCTCAACATTATACTTCTCCAGATGTGAATCTAGAACACAACTTCACTCAAAAACCCAATTGTGTATTTCACTCCAGACAGCAGAATGTTTCTTTATAAAATGCATGAAAAGCCCATTTCATCATCAGTGAACCAGTATTGAACCAAGCAGGTTTAACTGAGCAGGTTCCAAGATCATCATGTTTTAAGAACACAAGTTACATTTAGCGCTGTTTCACACCACTGACAACCGCAATACTACATCTTATCACTGTTCTTTTTTAACAGTTTACTTTTTGCTGTAAACAAAGCCAAAATAGCATTACCTAGATTAACTCACCCCAGAAAGTCTGGTCATTATCTTTTAAGGGATTAATCATGAAAGATTAAAGCGCTGGATATTTTTTCCTGCACTGGCTGTCTTTTCTTCCCCGAGGAGTACAACGATCAGATGACGTGAAGGCCATGAACACACACGAGGCCCAAGCAGCACTACCACAAGGTGCCTGCAGTGGTGGCAGTATCACTTCTGTAATATGAGCTTTAACATACCCCAGAAACTTTCAGCAAATCTTACTAAATCCCAATTAAGAAATTAACATGACCTATAAGTGACACCAGAAACATCAAGCAAACAAGCAGAACGCTGACTAGCCTAGCATTTCTTCTGACCAGTTATCAGCCACAGGATAACTTCAGCTCCCATAACTGCAGCACTGAAGGGATGCTGCACCACAGCAAGAACTCCACAGTGCCTCCACAGCCCCTACAAAGCACTTCTGCCAACACGATTTATCACAGGCTGACGTGAATGTTAACATGGGGTTTATGCTCAAGTACTGAGTTCCGCAGTTAAAGACCAGCTATCATCCTCCACTTACTGGAATGGACTGCCAAAACAACATCACAGCTATCCATGCTTAACTTACAAGAGGCTGAAGCAAGAAGTAAAGGGCTTACCTTCTGCCTTGCATCTTTAATAAAGAACATTCTTCCTATCAGCACAAAACATGTTAAAAAAAACCTCAGTGAACAGTCCCTGGAAAGTATGAAGACAATGGCCTGACTCAGTTCTTCCTATTACTAAGTGAAGGAATTACCACCTGAACACACCTAGCAGAGTGCCTTCCTAGCTTTGCACAAACAACTGCAGCTGAGACAGAACAGTCAGACAATCTCCAAATCTTTCTGCCTTATTTTTCTTCTTTCTGTGCAAGTATTGTAAAAGATTATTCATGCTGATACTTGAATTGCACTGTTTATTTATTGTTATGGATGGAGTATTAACTACACACACATAAGTTACTGAAAACTCAATTTCCAGCATGAAAATAGCAGTTCTGCAGAAAGTTCCAGCAAAACCTTGGTTTTACTGTTTCTTCTAAAGAGAAAAGTGCTGCTGGCATAAAAATGGTCCTTGGATTTCAGAACAGAAGACAAATAAGAGATGAGTGAGGTGTTTCAAACAACTGATATGTAGCCACTAGGTATAACTGTCCTTCAAACAAGCTAGAACATTTGCTTTCTGTTAAATCATCACAGCAACAGCTGAAAAACTTCTCAATCATCCACCATCTCACAGGAGACAAAAAGATTAAGAAAAAACACTGAAGGAATACAGTCTTTTCAGCTTCTCATTGCTGTTAGTCATTCACACTTGCAGCTGCAATCTAGGCATCAAGTGCTTTTATTTGTACTTCTAATTGTGCTTTCTTTCACACTAGCAAAATAGCAATTAAAAGTTGTTCTAAGAACATACCTTGCTTCTTCGACTTATGTGGGTCAGCACCTTTCTGTCAGCAATGCACGTGAATTACATTTTCATTTTGAATAATCTACTGCCAAAAGCTCCAGTAATAGCAAGTGATCTTCATTAATCTATTTCCATGTGACACACAGCCTTGTTCTCATTTGCTACTGAGTATTAGTTTAGAAGGCAATGAAAAAGAAAGCTGAAATTCTCAAACTCTTCACAGGGGCTACATCTCACTCCAAAGAAATATGAAAATACAGGCAGGCAGAGTTCTTTTGTGTTAATAATCACAGAAATAACCAATGCACTATGATTGCTACATGGAATATCTGGAGGGCAGACAAAGGGATACGGATATTTGGGTGAGTACCCAGAATACTTCACCACTTCCATCATTCAACAGCACTGTTTTCAGTTTAGGCATCAGTTCAAAAAGAGGAAGTGTGACTGTATTCAGCAATTCATCTTTTGAGTAGTTTTAAGATAAGCAAATTCTCACATTCGAAAAAATAAAGAACATATTCATGTAAGTTTGCTATTCCTTCACATTCCGCTGTACTCAAAAGCCTGAAATTCATGAGTAAATTGCTATCAACTTCTGCATATGAGGATACTTGCCATATTTAACCTAAACATCATATACTCAATAACAAGTGACCCCATTTTCTATTTTAACAGAACCCTTGTATTTACTTAGCTGAAAGAACCATTCAAAAATACTCAGGTGTTTGAATGGAAAGATGCATCCTCAATTAATGATTTAAATGGTTTTTACTGGTTTAAAAAAGACAAACATGCCAAGTGGTGCAAAGACAGTACTTTGTTTCCAAGGTCTGCTCTTCAAGACAGACTGACCTGTCTCCTCACATTGCTCCTATGCCCTAGCTACAATAAAGTGTTTTATCTAATACAAATCAAACCGACTCCCTTGTGGAGAAAGACAGCCACGTCAGTAATTAAGCAGGGGCTAGGGAAAGAGGGGGGAAGGGACGACAGATAGCTCAGAGACAACAAGGGAGCCAAGAAGGGAGGAGGAGAAGGTTTGGCTGTAGTCACCGATCTCCTTCCCCAGCCGCCTCCACAGGAGTCAGATGTGCAGTCTGTCACAAACGCTCCTTCTGCAGTCACCCAGTTTTCAGCTCCTATTTACCATTCCAGGCAACTCCCAGATACTGTTAAAGAAGCCTTCCGTGCTTCAGCACAGACCAAGTGCGCACAAGAAGGTGAAACCCTTCAGGCTGCTCAAGACAAGGCAGCTAAGGAAAGCAGCTACAGAAGTGCCTCAAGTACTGTTCAGCAGGCAGCCAAAATGGCTTTCAGCAGTAAATACAGAAACTATCAGCTGATAATAATCAAATGCACAGCTGAGGAATGTTTTTAGAAACTGTTTCACAAGAAGAACTAAGAACTGTTTCTGTTACCATCTGCCCTCTGGCAGTTCCAGAAGGCACAAGAGGTGGGTAACTGACTATGCTGCTCTCTTAGAAAGTTCAAGACTTTGCAAAATCTGTCAGTTTGTTAAAAAAAATATATAATAATAATAAAAAAGTCTACAGGTTACAGTAAGTGCTTCAACTGTTTAAGAAAAAAGAAGTTCCAACTTCAAGAACATCAGTTGCATCACATTCATTACTATAAAAACTAAAATGTACAGAACAACAATCCTACATATTAAGATTTTGTGAAACAGAGCTCATGTATTGTCACTGCTAACAAATGTACCAGCTTTGGAAGTTTATTCTTCCACACATAGCAAGTTCTTGCCCTGGGACAACTGCAGGACATATATATTTTTGTTTTTATATGTTATTACATTATTATTATTTATATATTATTTTTGTTTATATACTTTTCGGTTTTTGATTTTTTTTTTGCTTTGTTTTGTTTCACACAGATGTAGTGCCAGCTCAGCCTGATTTATGTTTTAGATACTTTCAGTGTATTTTAAGAGCAAGCTTTTTAGGGTACATAAGCAGCGTCACTTCTGTTTTCCTCCTCCAGTCCATGAAGTACTTTAAGAAGACGTGCAGAATTATTACTTGTTAGAAAGTCAGAAGACATCAAGATTTCTAAAACTGCCCTTAATTTGAAGAGAACATTTGCTGTCACAATGAATGAACGCTCACTAACTGAAGTGAGATCATGAGTTCCAATTAATTCCTCCGTTTTCCAGGCTCGGATCCTTGCTGAGAACTTTACCTGTACAAACTGAAAAACGTACTCGACCATAGCGATATACCAGCTGAGAAAAGCCCCCGGTCACCTCTATTTCATAAGCCCGCTACCCTTCACGCGGCTGCAGACTCGCGGCATTCCACATTTAATGGACAAATCGCACGGAGCGGTGCATCAGCACTCCTAACTCGCTCTAAAAAGCGGTACGTCATTCCAGCACCCACACCTGCATGCGCCGTGCGAGGGCTCCGCTCCGGCTCCCAACGCTCCGCCACCGCCTCCCTCCCGGCCCGGCCGCCCCTCAGCCCGCGCCCGCCCCGCCGCGCCAACGCCGCGCCAACGCCGCGCCGACCCCGCGCCCCCGCCCAGCGCCGCCCCCCGCTCACCGCGATGACGACGGTGTCCTCGCCCTGGAACTTGGCGACGTACTTGTCGCCGCGGGTCACCTCGGACTCGTTGAGGGGCCTGAAGCGACACATCACTTTGATGTTACACTCCGCCGGGTCCGCCATCTTAGGCCGCCGCCACCGCCGCCCGCGGGGCGCTCAGCTCAGCTCAGCTCCGCCGCCGCCCGCTCCGGAGCTCCGCCAGCCGCCGCGCTGCCGCCGCCGGGAGGCCCGCGTCCGCCCGAGCAGGAGGGAAAAGAAAAGAGCTCCTTCCCGGCCGCCGCCACCGCCTCCCGCTTTCACTTCCTCCCCAATATGGCAGCCATGGCGGCGCCGCAGCCGGCGAGACCGACCCCCCTCCCACTTCGCCGGGCGGAGGCGGGGCCGGCGCGGGGCGGGGAGGGGTGACGTCACCCTCTGCAGAGCCCGGCCCCGCCCTTTCGCTTGGGGCGCGCCGCGCGGGCGCGGCGGCACTGACAGGGAGGGCGCTGCCGCGAGCCGCCTGGACGCCCGAGGGAGCGCGGCCGTGCGAGGGGGCGGGGCCAGGGACGGGGCGTGCCCGAGGCCTCCGCCTCTCCCGGCCGGGCCGCGCGGCGCAGCCGCAGCTGTGAGCGACCGCATGCTGGGCGGTGCTAACGGCTGGGAGCTGCGCGCGCGCACGGATGGGGCGCGAAAGATCAAACGGGTGCAGAACGAACCCGCAACTCAGGTCTGCTGCCTGCCAGAAACCGCGGTTTATGCTGGAAACTTTTCAAATGGCGTTGAAATAAATAGAAAGAGGGGCCTTTTTGCTCCTGAAGTTCGTACGTTATACCAGGTCAGAATTACTTAGATAGCAACGTGCTTCTCTTAAAGGCACTCGCTTTTTCATTAACAAGGGAAAAATATGAATTTTAATAGGGACCGTCTGAAATCAAGCAGCCTACGTCGCCAAAGCCTTTTACAGCGTGGGGATGTGAATGGCGTGCTGTCAGCAGGACAGGTGCGAGGTGAGCACAGCTTCCAAACTGCAACACGGGACAGAAAATTGCCTCACAGTCGAGCTGCATCCACGGGGCGTTCCTTAAGCTCCAATACAAAGAGTAGTTTCGTGCATAGCAAAGGCTGTTACACAGCTGTGGGATTTGGATCCTTTCAGATTCCCTCTGACAGGAGCTCATTATTATTATGGAGGACATGTAACCTTGTACTTACTGCTTTTCCAATTCATTCACTTTTGTTCCTGAGGAAAACAAGAAAAACAAGCGCTGGCTGTAAAACCAAAATTCCATGGTTATTAGTTCCAGAAACGTTCCAGCTGCTAAGACATCCTTTACCCTAGTCTACTTAAGAAATGTACAGCTTGTGTTGTTTTATAACCAAGGAGGGCCATAGCATTAGCTGTGTTTGCTTACTGACATACAGTATGCAGTGTAAGAACATCTCAGTATGGCAGAAACTTCACCAGGATGTGATTTGTAAGGAAATAAATGCTTGGGCTTGCTTACCTTTGAAACAGCAAACTTCACAAAGAATAATGATTCATGAATAGGAAGTTAGTTACTTAAATATGTTGAAACAAGAAAATACCTGGATGCGTCAACTGTGTTGACAAAACTGCTTAGTTCTAGTCTATTGATTCTATGCAAACTCAGGAGAATGACTGAAGGTCTCTCTTATCCTGGCTATGGGATACCTTCCTCCATGAGCTGTTAAACTAAACATGCATTTTCTGTTGTCCATTTCAGGCATTCATGAAGTTTCTCTTCAGGGAACAGAAGTTCAAACTATTCAGCACCCCTTCTTTTACATGACCTACTTTAAATCTGATCCAATGCAGCATGCTCAAAGAGGACAATGTTATTGTTGTTGGTTCTAGCATGTAAAAATAACAGCCTTGAACTTGTGTCTAAAGATGCGGTGTCACTTTCTGGACAAAAGAGCAGAGATCAAGCATCTCGGTAACTTTCTCATTTTGTCACTGTTCTGCTTACAAAGAAGCAAAATTGCTTGTGACAGAGTGCCTCAGTGACACCAGGCAAAGCATTTGCAGTTAGGCCAACATTCACGTTCAAAAAGAAGACCAAAACTCACTCACCCAGCTGGTGAAGGTGTTCTCTGACTACGCAATACTCTTTCACAGGAAGCAGCCTAGGTCCAAGAGATGCTCTCCCTTTAGTGACTGGCCCAAGATGGACTCTGGGTCCACCCCCTCTGGTCTGATGGAGAGCACAGGTGCAAATGTTTTCCATTGCTCCCTAGGCTAGCCGCACCCCTTAGCAGATGTTCTACCACCAATTCAGTCCTTCACCTGACATTTCCCCTACAGTTACAGTTAGCTGCTTTTTTGATTGGAAATGCATTTACAGTCTTCTCAATTGTTCCATTATACTATACATTTGTTGTGATTTAGATTAAGATTGTTTAAAAGAAAAAAAAATTGATTTTTTTTCCCTATTTAGCAGTTAAGCCCATTGTGACCTTATACATTAAATACGTTTTCTAAAGAAACGCTATATGGCAATGTATGATCTGTGCAATAAACCTCTAGAAGTTTTTTCATGATTAGTAGTTCCTTTAGATCTCTGGTCTTTCCCAGCAATAAAAGCACATTAAGGAAAGAGAACTGGCAAACCTGAGCCTTGCTGTGAAACTGTATCCAGGTGATGATGAATTAACCATTGTAATTGCTTCAGCAGAGTGAAAATTGTTTTGATTTGACCTTAAAAGAATATTACGTAGTTGAACAGATCTTTAAACCAGGTGTTTGCAGGGAAACAGATTAAAGCTGTTTCCTCCTGCCTTTTAAGGAACTGAATTCTTTTACCGGTACTTGTTGATGTTCAGTGTTCCCAAAGCAAACACAAGGGCTCTTCTCATTTTAATTTGCACTGTGCTAGAAAAATACCGTATATGACTGTGGTGAAATTACAGTGTGTCCAGGTTCAATTTATTCTGAATTTGCAAATCAATTTGAAGGACAAAAGTAGTAGGACAATTTGTTGTTGTTTGTGACACTGTCTGTAATAAAGGCTATTAGGATGTTTTGTGAAATCTAGTGACGTTGCCTGACACTGGAAATGTGTAATTAAAAGTAACATCTTATGGTTCAGGCAGCTTTTAAAAATACATTTTAGAGTCTCTACCAACAGTCTGTGAGCAGACAATTCAGCTTTTGGAACAGAACAGATAAATAAATTACTGAGATTAGCAGAAAGTTGGCAGATAAAATTTAGTGTCATGAAATATCACTGCAGTCAAACTGGATTATATGAAACTCTCATTCAGTTATGAAATTGTAAAGCCTTTTTTCATTCAAATAAATAGTATGATGTGGAACGTATCTCCTGTCCCAGGCAGGTTTAGGCTTTTAGGTGATCTGAAAGGCTGAAACATGCTTTGAGGATGCAACTGCAACAGTACCTTCTTGTTATAAATACCAGTGGTTCTAAGAACCAGGTTTTGTTTGTTTGTTTGTTTTGCAAGAGATGCACAGAACTCAGAGAAACCTCTAGCTTCTTCCTAATCACCACAATCATATTTGATTACTTGTAACAGTGTTAGACTAATTAAAAGCAAAACAACTCTGGGAACGAAACCACATTTTTGATGTTTATTTCAGCTAATTTGTGCAAATTAACACAAACGTTTGCTAACTACCTAAAGCACTGACTCTGAATTCTCCTTGAAGAAGGAACACCCTTTTGGACCACGTTTATATTTTTAACCATAAAAAATTTTTGTCATCTGTTTTGTCATTCCATCATAAATCCCCATTGTGAGTCACTTTCCATTGCTTATAAGTCATTCTAAACTCGCCACTGGATTGTGTCTTAGTTTTGGACATGGCTTTGCTGTTTCAAAGAGTGCAGTTAGATATGCATTGTTTGCTAAGGGAACACTCTCACATTTGTAGCAGTTAAAGCAGAGAATCTAAGCATGAAAATTTGTTAGGGAAAATCATGTCAGAGCTCTGGTGCTTTTGATTATCTAAAAGTGCTCCAAACTGGCTGTGTCATAGAAAAACACTGGAAAAATAGCTCCTGTGCTCCAGTTCAGCAGGCTTTCCTTTTACACTGAGTAATTGAGCTGAAAGCTGGAGCTGATAGTAAGGATTATGACTTTATTGAGTTCTAGAAGGAGTTGCTTTCTATCACCTGCAGACAAGAGTATGGCTTGTTAGAAGGAACAGAAAAAATATTTGGGATAGAACAGGAAAGGCAGAAGATCCAAGTTCAGGGACATAAGAAGAAACAAGCAGAAAAGTCTGTGGCAACTGCAGGACCTCCTCCAGCAGCACAAATGGGATCTGTGATCCCTCACTCTGCTGTCACCAAATAGATGTGGAACTCACACAGATGTGCTCAAATGGCACACGCAGAGGGACATCATCATGTAGCCACTGTGTGCTTGGTCAGTGCAAGGAGCAGGGGCAATGCGCCTAAAATACGATCATGACACTGTATCATGAAATACTGCAGAAATGAGTTGAATGAGATGCTGCTCTACAGAATTCGTATCAGTATGTTGCAGTATGGAGAAATTTCCAGGCTTTTTAAAAGGCAAAGAAATTATGTACAGGACATGCTTCACAATAGAATAGCATTCAAAGGTGTAAAAAAGGACAAAAAACATTGTTCTTGACTGATCCAGCTGTCAGGATATGGTATTGATAGGTGGTCTCACAACAGCCTGATTTGAAATGACTGGTGGCTATAAACATCATAACCATACATCTCAGGTTGCATTCAGAAATAAAAGAAATCACAGATTATTATTCTGCCAAGTACTCAGTGGGTGGAAAGATTAGCATGTCATTGGAAACAGGCTGTATCCCTACCTGAAGTGTAAAAGGGAAGACAGCCTTAACTCTGGAGTCAGTGAATTCACAACACAACATTTCTCTTTGTTGTCATTCTTAAGTTGCATCTTTTCAGTTTAGTTTCAATTTTGTTTTGTTTTTTTCTTCAATGCTGGAATGCTTTTCTTAAGGATCATGTATATCCCAATAACCTTGCCTGGAAGTAGCAGAAATATGGATGAAAGATTTGCATTGGAAAATATAGCCCTGCTCATTTGTTAACTTGTACATGGCAAAAAAAAAAAAAAAAAAAAAAGTAAAAATTAAAGGACAAAAGCTACATCATGAACTTCACAGTCAAGAATAGATCCAAAGATCGTGTGTCCTTCAAAGTGTCAGTCAGGTCCTCATTGATATGATCACCCTGTCATCCTGCTTTAATATTCTAAGTGCTTTTATGTGCCAAAAAGCATCGCTAATATAATCCAAGCTAGGTTATAGCTAATTTGTCTTGCTTCAGACCCCAGACTCAGAGAAAGCAGTGAATGGAAAGAAGGTTGAATGACAAAGAAATATCCATCTATGTGCTATGATTATGTGTCAGTATGATGTGTCACTCTACTGCTATTTTATATTGTGTACTTGAGAGCATATCACAGTGTCTTCAGTGATTTCCTATGAGGGTGTCAGAAATTATATGTGGCATCCCTTCTTTTTGAGAGAGAGCTTCTATCTTGTTTTGCATAGGACGTTCAGTGAGATCTTATGTTCAGTGATTGAAAAAAATGTGATGGACCCAATGGAATTTTCTCTGACATTTCACCTCCACTGTGATTAATAGTTCATCAGGTACTTGCAAAAATATGTTTGAATATGTGTGTGTTTTTCTGAATTTGGATTCACGGATACCAAAGGAAAAAGCAAAAACTAGTGTAGCTTTTCAAAAAATTATGTTGTTTTAAAATGTAAAGCTTGAAAGCTGTTAGTATTTGGGAAGGTCTAGATGATTTCTTAGGGCAGGACCTGAAAAACTAGCTCGAGCGCAGCTAGCACCCTGCCTTGCTTCTCTTATTAATTCTTATGGCTAACTGGCCCAGCTTGTCACTGGTTCTATCAGCAAATGAAAATTAAAGACAGGATCAGTTTAAAATGTATGAGTTTTGCCTCCCCCTAATAGTGCTAGAACAAAAGTATAAACAAAACTAGATGTTTTTGTTCAGTTTGTTCATCAAAAACATTGAGATCTATGACAGTTCAAGGACACTGGTGCTTTTCACAGGTATACATGAGTGCACACAAAATGGTTGCAAAAAGTATGTTTATTTTTGTTCAGTGTAGTTCTGCTGAAAAAGATGACCACACACAGTTTTAACTTAGCCTGAAGCATGCTTATAGTCAAAATCACATCTGAAATCTTCGGCAAAAATATATTTTATTAATCGCTACTTCATAGGCTTTGCAGAAATAATGCTGGGGGAGATAAATCCAAAGCCTTTTCTAGGTCTTTTATGAACAGAATTACCTCAATTCTGACATTTATTGTTGGTGACAGCACATGAGCTACACACAAAAGGGAACTGACTTTCAAAATCCAGTTTGAAATTGCTGAGCTGAGAGCACTTTTTCTTTGTGGAACAAATTTTTATGGCACTGGTAAACAAACCATTCATGGGGGGTGAGAGGATGGCAGAATTGCATCAAAATGGACCTTTTATATTATATTATATTATATTCCAGCTGACCTCACACAGACTCATCATCCTGACTTCTAGTCTTCCCATAAATGGATATATGCCTTGCCTGCGGAGAAGTAAGAATCTTCATTAGCTGGAGAGCTGCCCTAAGGAAAGGGAGTGGTGTGTGTGTGCACATACACATGGACTTGTCAGAGCAGTTCATGGAGTTTTCTTCATTTTCTCCATGTCACATCTTCAAACTGTCCACAGGATAGAGAGGTAGAGAACTTTCATCAGCTTTTCAAGGTGTTTAGTAATTTTTTTTTATTATTTTTTTTTTTGTAATCTGGACCTTTGCCAGATGTTACAACACAGCAACGCTATGTGGGAAAGCTGCAGTTCTTGGTGCTTAAGTGCTGACTTAGTGCACCGAGGAGTGGCAGAGCTTAAAAAGAAAAAAGAACGCACATGGGGGATGAGGCAGGTACTAATCACTTTCCGGCAACATCTGAAGATCTTTTGTCAGCCTGAATAAACTCCCATCACTTCCGTATTTCATTCATGTAGGTGGTCAGTTTCAGCTGTTTTGTAGCCATGCCCTCACTGCCTACCCAGCCTTGTAATGTTTTTCTTTTATGCATTCCTTGTTCTACTGTTGTCTAGGAGGCATCCCAGACAGTTCAAAAGAAATACACCTACTAATATAATTTTTCCCACCCTGTTGTGTTTTAACTCAGCAGACAACTAAGCACCACACAACTGTTTGCTCACTCCCTTCTCCCTTTGGGATGGAGGATAAAAAACAACAAAAGAGAATTCATGGGTTGAGATAAAAAATATTTAGTATGACAGAAAGGGAAGGGAAAATAATATTAATGATAATTACGTATACTTATTTATACACACACACATATATATGTATATTTATAAAACAAGTGATGTACAGTGCAATTGCTCACCATTCACTGACCAATGCCCAGACAGTCCCCAGGCAATGTCTGTTCCCCACAGCCAACTCACCCAGTTTTTTAGATAACAAAATGTCCTGTGGTATGGAATATCCCTTTGGCCAGTTTAGGTCAGCCATCCTGATTATGTCTTCTTCCAGCTCCTTGTGCCCCCTGACCCCTTCACTGGCAGGACAGTAGAAGGAGCTGAAACATCCTTGGCTCTGTGCAACGCTGCTCAGCAACAACTAAAACATTGGTTTGTTATGAACCTTGTTTCCTTCCTAAGGCCGGAACACAGCATCATGTCAGCCACTCTGAAGAAAATCAACTCCATCCCAGCTGAAATCAGGACACACTCCTTGTTCATATCACATTTAATTCTCTCTTCTTTAAGAATCTTTACTAAATCAAAGATCATTGGCTTTATGGGCCATGCTTTGTATGACGTTGCTGCTGTTTTTCTGTTCTTGCCTTTGTTTATGTCCTGTCTGTCCTCTTTTCTCTGCTGGTGATGGCCAAGATACATTTTTCCATTCTTCCAGAGTTGCTGTGATGCTTCCCATTACATCTCTCCAGCTATCAAATACTCCTCTTCATGATGACTCCTTCTGTCATGATGCCTACCAAAAATGGTGAATAATATTTGCAAAGACAAAAAAACAGTGAGAACAATTTATGAAAATCCTTTTATTTGTGATACAAAGAAGACATGGATCGATGCTCAAAGCTGATCATGGTCCTTCTAAGTCTTTCTTCAGCAGACAGAAGCAGCCTTCTTATTTTTCTAATTGTTAGAAGAATAGAAAAAAAACATTGCCAGAAATAAAAAGCAGACTAGTGGAACTGAAATTGCCTTTGTGATTCCCACACCTCTTAAATTGTTGTGCTCTGATTTGTCCACACCTCTTTCAGAAACAATGGTATCATCATTCTTGGCAAAGAATGCTTCCTTCCTTAGTCACAGGTGTGAAGACTGGGCTTCTACTTGGATGGAAAAATTAGGAAATCATTTCCTCAGTTGATATAATGTCCATTTTTGGAATCCCCAAAAAGAATTACACTTGCTAAAAGAGAAGGAAACATAATACAGGGATTTCAGTTAGATTTATTAATTTTAATATGGGAGGAGGTGCCCCTTGCAAGTAGCTGGAACTCACATTGTTTACCATGAGCAAAAATAGAATATTCTTTATCTCCTTTGCACTTGTGCATTTAACAGGCATTACATAGTTTGTGCCTGTTGTCCCTTGCCCTGTCACTATGCATCACCAGCCTGGCCTGTCCATCTGGCTCTTGCTCATTAGACATTTATACGTTTTGATAAAATCTCCCCTCAGTCTTCTTATCTGCCTGAACAGTCCCAGGTCTCTCACCCTTTCCTCGTAAGAGGGATGCTACAGGTCCCTAATTACCTTTGTGGCCCTCCACTGCTCTCTCTCCAGAAGCTTCCTGTCTTTCTTTAACTGAGGAGCGCAGAACTGCACACAGTACTCCAGATGTGGACTCACCAGGGCGGAATGGAGAGAGAGGATCAGGTCTCAACATGCTGCCCATGCAATTTCTAATGCTGACATAATTCTAATTCTGTGAAAAATCTCCACTTCTGTTATTATGTGCATTTATCATTTTTTTAGAAGTAACTAGTGTGTATTTACTTGCAAACTTATTACTAGTATTTTATGTGATAACAAAACCATATATATTTCACTCTTGGTAAGACTAAAAGCAGATGTTGAAGTATCTAGTATGGATATAACACTCCAAATTCTTTTTGCAATGAGAGAACTTATTTAATCCCTTCACATTTTCTGGAAATCACCTCTCTCTAACCTTGGCTACTTTGCACTTCATGGTTCACAGCAGCATAGATGAGTGCTGGACCTACTATGCTTTGAAAAATGTGTGCGCATGTGTGTTTTGCTTTTAATCTACAATTTGAAAGGTCGATTGTATTAATCTTTTGTATATTAATTTATCTGGAGTGTCTGTTTTTTCCGAGACAGAATGTACTCTGATTACAAATACATCAGTCCTACTTCTATTGCTGGAATTTACAGCCTAGTCTACAAGAAGCAGCACTGTTATTTTAGACATAAATAGTATTTAATGGAATAATGTAAGAGTTAACATGCAAGTTCATGCTGGTTTAATATAAAAAATTAATTAGATTCCTGTTGTATTCTCCATGGCTAGAATTTCCCTGGGAAAAGATAGACAACAATGGTTCATTGTTATGAAAACTGTAAATGTTATAAGATGGAGGTTGATAAGTTTATGGATGGGGATCACAGAACAAGATAAGAAATACTCTGAAGTTAGAATTAATGCCTGAGATAATTGTTCTTTTGTATCCAGTTTCTTAGTAGGTCTAGTACCTAAGTACATTCTGCAGAGGAGATTCGTGTTCTAGCCTCACATTAAGGACTTCTCTTGCTTACCTAAGGGAGTTGGGTAGGGGCTGGTAGTCTCAGTGCATGGCAGATATGCTTTTGGAGTTAGAAGCTCTAGGAATATCTTGGATCTTTTGGATAATTTACTTCAAATTCTTAGTACTGTAAATATTTTAAGGAAATGGTTGCTGCTGCTTTTTTCTTATGGTCCATCAGAGGTACAGCTCTGGTCCTTTTCTTCTGAGTCTGTACAGGCAATCAGGTGCAGCGTGCACTGAGGTATGGGATTGGTTATGAAGTAATTGTATGGCTCTTTCAAGATTGAATATCTGTTGCAATGATTCTTTGATTTCTTGGGACATCATTCAGCGACCTACATCATGCTGACTTCTTCAGTCAGCAGTTGCTATGTTTTGGACAGTGCTAAGATACGAATCCAGAAAATGAGAAGCAGTGGTAATAAGCTTGGGAGACAAAATCTGGATGGCTTAGAGCTCATCTTTCTTGGCCAAATAAAAGATTTCTTGAGCAATTTCAACTGAGCATTTGTGGCTGCTGAATGTGTAACAGGAGGTATTTTGCTCTGAATATGAAGAACATTTTTGTTTACTCTTATTTGCACATAGACTGGGGAAATAGCAAAGCTCCTCCCCTGGGAGGCAAGCATTCCCTTCCTTTTTGCACTTCACAGCTCAACATGATGACTTGGTCATGAGAAAAAGTACTGATATGCTTGTTACATCACTTTAGAATTAACTAAAAATTCCATTGCTATATAAATCTTTATTAAGATCACTGGACACCTTGTCTTGAAGATTTTAGTGGACACTCAGAAAAATTCCTATGTATTAAGTATGGAAGAGTCCTAACATAAGAAACTTTTATAGAAATTTCAGGATAAAACAAATAGTTGGAGGAAAAATCATTCACCAACCATATAGGATGTTTGGTATTCGTGATCTGTAGTCCAGACGGTGCCCAGGATTTCTCTTCAGCATTTTAACTGGGGAAGGCTAACGTTCTTCTGTCTGCCAGAGATGTGTTACAGTCTTTGTTTGACCTTGCCTGGGGCAGGATGCTTCTTAGAGCATTAAATAACCACAACAGTTAAAACCTAGAACAGATTTCACCCAGCCTATCATAAGCACCTCAGGTTAGACAGTAGTCTAGACATCCTAGTCTCTTCTTAGAGTCTATGAACAAATTTAAGTACCCCCAGAAGGTGATTTATGTCATTATAAGATATATCAGATAAATTGTCCATTGAAGAGGCCCATATTGAATCTAGAAGATCCCAAATAAACTGATTTAGCTTTGGACAGCCACATCGTAAATGCCTAAAGCCTGTGTAGTAGGAATGCTGTGTTGTGCCCTTAAGTAGGGGGCATTTTAATCAGATGCTTGAATTTACTCATGGAGCTCTTAACTGCAGATTCGAATTGACCTAAATAAGACATCCAGAAGACTGCCTACAGTGGCAATGCTTCAGTCTCAGAACATGTTTTTAATCACATGATAATCTCATGCTTTTCCAAACTGTTGGCTGACTCATTCAAAAGAAAATATTCAAATAACAGAGAACCAGACCAGTTATCCCTCTATATTTTGCAAAGATCAAACAAAACCCATTAAACTGTTACTGCTTCAAACTTTGTACTGAAGGACCCACTGTAAAAAACTCTGTCATTAGATCTCTGCAAGGACTTACTAGACTCTGACAGGAGTCATTTCATACAGAAGATGCAGCCACCAAATGGTGTTACTATATGAAGTAAAAAGCATGGGACATTAGCTGGGGGTAAGGCTTGATGATCTCTAGAGGTTGCTTCCAGCCTCAAGGATTCTTTGATCCTGTGACAACTGCATTTTTGGCATGCATGTACATACTCCCACTGAACCATGACTTTCCATTGTTTTGCCTGTACTATCACTATACCTTCTTTATTAACAACAACAAAACCTGAATTTGGCTTTCTAAACATTTTAAATGTGTTACTGTTATGTCAAAGAGACATGTGGTAAATGGGTCTGGTATATTTGAAGGAAGCATAAGGAGCAATGATTCTCAAAATGGTGTCCTTTAGAGAGGGATCAAATAGCCTGCCAATAACGGAGTAATGCACAATTTTCCCACCAGATTCCAGAGGTATTATTATCACTGAGCACAGGTTAAATTGAAGGATGGTTAGAGCTGATGTAATGAAAGCAAATTCGAAGTACCGAATTGTGTATTTAAATTACCTGCCCACATGGTGTTAAAAAAAAATAATATTTCTGTCATACATGTATTTAAGGGATACTTTGCAAAAATCAGTATCCAGCATTCCAGCAGCAGTGCATGGCATATGATTTTCCTTTTGATTTTAATATTGTTTTATATGGGAATCAGAATAATCATTTTTGGATTGAATAACAAAGGCAATTGCATGAAAAATAAGGTACCATATGTTATTTTTACTATCTTCTTTCTGTTCCTTCATACACAGCTATATGCTCCATCTGAGGGTAAAGGTCCTTATTGTCGTGTAATATATTTCAATAATTTGGAATCAAACCTTGAAACTCTCTGCATGCAAAATCAAAATTGAATTTAAATATCAGAGCAGTATTTTCATTTTTCCAAGTGAGAGCACGTTGTCGTTGTTGCAATTCATTTATGTGTGAACATAATGAGTTCCACATATTTCAAGATGCGAAACTTGAAGACAGGCAGTGAGTTAGAATTCCTGCCAGGCTCTGAAAGCAGTAGTCACAGACTGACACATCTATATGCAGTAGTGCTCATTCAAACAACTGTGTGCTTCTGTCTGGTCTTATCCCTATAGCAATGCTTTTGGTTTCCTAATGAAGCACTGAGGAAAGGAGGGACTGAGAAAAAAGTTGATGACAACGACTATGGAAGTTTTATTTGCTGAAATCAAAATACGAAAAATATTTTGATTGAATTTATTTCCTTTTGATTTTTTTCCTGCTTTGCCATGCTGCATTTTAGGTGAGTCAAATTGATAATTCACCTAAATAAGCAGCACTTAATATTACCTATGACCACACAGTGCTAAAATTAAAGCTCTGTGGCTGCTTTACCCTTGCCTGAGTTTTCAAATACCGTTAGTGGAGATAAATTGTCATCATAGAAATAATTAATCAGATGATAAATGATTTGCCTTTCCACCGTGGAAATGACTGCAATGGATGTCCATCATAAATGTTATGGTATTTCTGAAAGTGCTGCAGAAAAAATATCCTTTTCAACAGAATACTTAATTAATTTGACATAGAAGCAAGTATACTCTTGGCAAAACTTGCAGCATCTGTCCTGGCATCTGTATCATTTTAAATCACAAACATTAGATCTGTATAACAGATTGTACACAATCTACACTATGCAGTTTGCCTACTGTGTGACAGTCTACCACAGACAGTTCTGCATAAACTACTGTGACTCTGTGCAGAGAAGTTACACATTCATTTGGTGAAGTCCTATTTTCTTTCCTTAGTATACGTGTTTTAGTTTCTCAGAGTGAAATTATTATTGTCATCTATTACTGTTGTCATCTATTGCAATTCATGTTAGGAATGTGGGCAGGTAAACTTGCAGAAAGAATGCGTGGGCTCAGCCAGACTCATAATGGTATGTTTGCTCTGAGTCTGCTGGATTTTTCACTAACAGACTCCTAGTAGTTTTTTTTACATCTAGCAGTTACCTTGGGATGCATATTGAAAAACTTTGCAATATCAAGTGCTTGATTATACAGTAATTTGAGCTACAGGTCTTTTTGATCAGTTAGAAATATTTTGTAGATACATTTTAATCTTATCTTGTATGTCTATGTAAAGTTAGTGTAGATATGTAAAGTTTGTCTCTACTGATGTTGCTTCATATTCACTGAATCTTTTTTAAAAAACCTATGCAGTCTCAGTGCCCATAAAAGATAAGAACTGCTGTTTACACAGGCATTAACGAATCTTCCCAGAGCTTTTCTCCCTTGCATAGCATTTCTCTGCCTGGGTTACAAGTGCAAAGAAAAAGTCTCAAGATAATTGCACAACTGGCAAAGAACCAAATACAGAGCCATAGCCTGATCTCGATTTCAAAACAAAGATCATCTCATTTTAATCCACTTATTGAAGTCTCATAAAATTAATCCCTACTTCATTTCTCCAGTTCTTGACCATTTTCTGCTCAGCAAGACAATATTTGAAGCTATAAGCTTTTCAGGAACAGTGGCAAACAGTTCTATTTTATTTGATCTTCAAATACAAGCATTAGACATAGGGTTTGTTGTTTGGTTGTGACTTTTTTGCAGTTTGTTCTACTTCTTTTCCACCTTTTCCATTGGAGAGCAAAGCATCTGTTATCTAAACAAGCCATGAACTGAAAGAGAAAGGTCATACACTGACTGTATGTATTTAGACAGTAGAGTGGGTCAGCGGCATGTGAAAAATACATGACTGTTCTTTATTCTGATTTGGTTTTGGTTTGCATTATTTCATGTTTTTTCAAGAGATATTGAGCAGGATCAAGCTCCTGTTTCCATATTATAGGACAATAATTCAAACAAAAATAACAGAGGTTTCAGCAGTTTCCTTTCATACTCAGTACACGAGAAAGCTCTCGAAATATATAAAATGCCCTCATGCTTTGTAAAGGGAAACATAATCTTATGCTTCTAAGAGTTCAGTTCAGTGTAACGCTGCCAATTACTTGCACGTTGTTCTTGAAGAAGCAATAGGTCAGGCACACAGGTATCCTCACTGCTCACACTTACGGTTTTGTCACATATGTAAGCAATCTGTGCAGCAGCTGGGATAGACATAACTTTCTCACCCTACCAGTGGCCTCTCCAAGTTAGGTCCCAGATTCATTAGCAGTGGTAGAAGTCTTGCACTGTTCCTTTCAGTCACACAGCTACAACTGTAATTTCAACGAGTGCAAATGGCCCACACAGAGCGTTATTAAATTTCCCTCTGTTTTTGTGCACAGTGGGACTGAAAAGAATGTACCTCAGAGCACAGCACAGCAGCCTTCTAAGGAAGAGTGCTTTTGCAATTGTTTGCTAAAACAATGTTCTCCTTCTGATTAAAATCTGTGCTGGAACACTTCACCATCTTGAGTGGGACTTTTCAATTGAGCAGTGGAATGAATAGAAATTCTCACTGTATTTCTTTTTTTCCTGTCTTATCTTCATCCAAATGGCACACAGGGATTTCACTGCCATAGGCAAAAGCAGCAGTTACTATCCCACTGTCTGAAAATAGCATAGCATTGCTATTCTGAACTTGACCAAAGTAACTCAGGAAACTAGTCAAAGCTAGAACTATTTCTAAATGAAATAAACAAACATTAAAAAAAAAAAAAGCAACAACCCAACTACTGCTTCCTTGGTGACAGGAATATTGCTCCATCATAACGCTAGGATTTAAAGAAAAACGCAAGTACCAGTAGACTGTGGAAGCCATAAGGAATTTGCTGACAGCAGTCTCAAGAAAAAGAAGTAAAAATATCCTGAGCAGTATTTGTGGTAATTATAAACACACAGGGTAAGCTTCCCATCACTGTCAGTCTTTGCCTTGCCAGCTGACACATGTAGTTGCCATGAAGGTCTTTCCGTGTGATTTTTGTATGAAGTGTTGAGGTGTTTTCTGACTATTAACAATGGTCTCCTTGTATGCTGAGCAGGGCAGGGCATGTACTCGGTCAGCTGACAGAGTTAACCAAGATAAAGTCCTTTACAATTTCTTGTGGGTTGAAGTTTGGAGGAAAAGTTCTTGTGAGATTTTATAAATCAATGTTTTTTTTCCTCAGTGTTCAATGTGAAAAGGAAAGAAAAAGAATATTGACCATAAAATCAGTAGGTGACGTTTGGAGTGAAGTAGAAGCATAGAATCATAAAATCCTTAGAATTGGAAGGGACCTTTAAGGGCCATCTGGTCCAGCTGCCCTGCAATGAACAGCATCCACAGCTCAATCAGCTAACTCAGAGTCTGGTCAGTCTGGCCTTGAGCATCTCCAGGGATGGGGCTTCCACCACATCTCTGGGCAACCTGTTCCAGTGCCTCACCACCCTTGCTGTAAAGGAGTTTTTGTTTATATCCAACATAAATCTCATCACTTTAAGTTTGAAACAATTTTTCCTTATCTTGTCATCTCAGACCCTGCTAAAGATTCTGCCCCCTTCTTTCTTCCAGCCCCTCTTTAGACACTGAAAGGGGGCCATCAGGTCACCTCAGAACCTTGTATTTTCCAGGCTGCACAGCCCTAGCTCTCCCAGCCTGTCCTTGTAGGAGAGGTGTTCCATTATATTCTAGCCCCTACACAATTTCCTGAAGTAGAACTTAATTCTACAATAGATAAATCTTCCAACAGTATCATACGCTCTTCACCTTTATAGAAACAGAAATTTCATTTTTTCTTTCTTATTTCTTCTCTAGAACTCAGGGGTCATGAATTCAAATGGTGCAGGTGGTATCCCTCATCCTCCCTGGGAGTGAAGTAATGAGTGATGGCCAAAAGGAAAAGGGCGTAAGCACCATTTAACTGTATAAGTGTCTAACTGTGTGAGGACTGACTGTATAAGTGTCGTTTATTTTAGAGTCAGAAAGATGTTTAATAATGAAGTCTGGGTACTACAGTAATTGTACACCCCCATTGCTAAGGAGAGAGAACAATCAGCAGGGTGAGGATGCATGCCAAGCTCTCCTACTGGTCCCACATCTATCCTAAGAGTATTCAGCAAGCAGCCAAAGTTAGCTTGCAAGTTAGCTGGGGACAAGTGCTTCCCTTGCCCACAGCATGTCTCTCATCTCCACCCACTAAAAGGAATCCTGTGTTTGGCACCAGCGTGCCAGGAATATGGAATCACTGCCTTCTGCTCATTCTCAGCCCATTTCAGTGCCAACTAGAGCAGAATTCAGCCAACAGAATTTAGATTTTGGAAAGTAAGCATTAAGTCAGAGGTTTTCCTCCATGCTCCAACAATATGTATTTTTAATAAAGTGGGGCTTTTAGTTAGTTTGGTTTTTAATTTTGCCCCAGTGATTAGCAGAAGCTTTTACCTACAGGATCTCAGGAACTCTGTTTGACCTCAGTTAATGCTTTGAGGAACTAAGCTAATAGGAGCCTAAGACATTACTTTACCACCACAGGAATATATATATTACTAACATGTGCTTTGCTAAAATGATCTTGGAACAATTTCTGCGTGCCTTTGTGTGTCCTCTTGGATCATTACTGCCATTCTTTCTGTGCTGGCATTCCAGAGTTGCTGATTCACAGACTGCATCTGGTTCTTTATCGTTCTTTCCAACTCAACACTTGAACACTTGACTTGCTACAGTGATTGTCCTCTATGACTAACATTTTTGTTTCAACATCCTGCGTGTTATAAAAACATTTCTGCAAGGCTCTTTCTCATTGCATTTGATTAGACTATTTCATTTATTGAAAATGAAGCATTTTATTTCTTACTTACCTTTTTCTCTGACTTTCTTCTCCATTTTGCAGGACTTCATGGAGAATGAAGGCATGGAGAAGGTGAAGTCTTTCTACAAGGAGTGATCAGGCCCAGGATCAGGTCGTAGCTCTGTAAGCTGGGGTTGCTGATAGCAAACCTGAGACAATATGTGAGGTCAGAAAACAGCTGAGATTTCTACCTAATTTGTAGGCTATTAAGAGGCCTGGGGCTGTAACTGTGTTTCACTAAATGCATGTTAGGGAGGATGCCTCTTGACCTTCTTCAAATTCCTCTACTTAAGTACATGAAAAATGAAATGTCTTGCCATCCTAGGGAGCTCATTTCCTTTTCGTCAAAAGTGGTTAAGATTCTGGCCTGCTAAAATCAGTGAAGATCTGCAAGTATCTCAGCAGATCTAGGATTACTTCCAAGAAAAATGTATTACTTGCCTTAACTAATGTTGACTTATTTTTCCTCTGCAGCAAATTCTGTGAGAGATCCTCCTTAAGGAAACAAACAAACGAATGAACAAAAAACCCAACAAAACAGTTGGGTGTAAGTAACTTTAATAGAGCGATTTTTCCTCCACCAAAATGTTCAATGTGAGTAGCAGCTGTGCAGCCTTCCTCATTGCAGCTCTTCCAGCTTTGGTAGGTAGAAATTCCCAAGGGTGGGATGTGAATTTGATCTCAGCCTTTCTATAATTTTGTTTTCCATTGAAACTTAGTTACACTCCAGTGTGGCGGTGCATTTGGTGATAAAAGCATGGTGCTCAGAGAATAGGATGGTCAACTTTGTCAGCCATTTCAGTAAGTAACTGAGCTTTCAGTGATTTACAAAGTCTGAGTGCTGGCTGTTTTCCAAAAGCTAAAACTAGCAGTCTTTCCAGTGCCCCATCTATAAGCTGACTCAGAAACATACCATCACTGGCTATAACAGGAGGCATTTTATATTTTGAATGGATGGAAATGGACCAGGCACTGGCTGTAATGGTTTTTAACAGAAACATAAGCATGCAACAAATCCAGGATCAAAAGGGTCCTCAGTTTCTTCAATTCAAATGTTTTCAGCTGCTCTCAGTTTGCAGTGAGCTTTGCAATGCCATTTTTTTTCCTCCAAACCAACTTTCTTGAAGTTTGACAGTTCCACAACAACTTTCGCGTTAGGAATTTTCTTGCTAACAAGCATGTCTCAAGTCTGAAAAACACGGTGTGACTTTGCTGTCTCAGGGTCAAAGAGCGCAGTTTGTGGATGTTTTATTTGTTATCAGCCTGTCATGATTTTTTTTCATTGCTTGAGTTCACAGTCCAAGAGCTGATCTGATGGCTCACATCGCAGCCAGGGTGACCGGACAGGCATATCTACAGGGGCTCCTGTGCCAAAGCTGGATTTCTAGTGGGTCTCAGCCAGCTAATCTGAAGTTAGCTGAGAAGTCTGCACTGCACTGCAGACAGTCCCTGTGGTAGCTGAGTTTCTCAAGTAGACTTGCACAGCCTTTCCTTATGTACAAGACGGAGTGGGAACTTCATCCTTCTAGACAGCGTCCTGGGTCTGGATGCCATAGGAAACTTGATGATTTCCAATGCCAGCATCTCCTTGTGAAATTCATCCTGAATGTTTCCAATCTAAATTATTTAAAGCGATAGTGGCATTACAGCCAAAAATAATGTCTCTATCAGCAGATAGAGCTGAGCTGAGGTCACAGAAATCCCATTTGTCATATCCCAAATAAAAGCTTTCATGCTGCAAACAAAAAATAGAACATGGGATATTTCAGCAGCTCTGAAAACAGTTTAGTTTAGTGCTGGCTATTACTAGCAAGACAGCTGTGCTTTCTGAACCAATACTAACTTGCACAATTCAGCTTCTCATGGTGTGATAGATGATACCAAACAATGGAGCTTCCTTGTCAGCCCGTACAAAGTCAGTCTGCTGGCAGAAACTCAGTTCCAGTTCAAGTCTGAGCTGTGTTCTGAATATTTTCTCTCATAATTTAGTGCTTTTCTGCATGGAATTCACATTCATCAACTTCCTCTGAAGTCTTCTCAAAGCTCAGAGCTGGTCAAACATCCGTGCATACAGTGAGTTGCTAGAAATTTGTACCAGGAAACTGGATGGGTAGGACAAAGAACAGCAAAGTGAATCCAAAATGGCTAGTAAAGAGAGGGGTAAAAGCCAAATTAAGTAAGAGAGAGAGCTTCTGAGTTCCAAACATGCCATTACTAGAAATCTTCTAATAGTTATGATATTTGTATTTTGAAGATGCTTGAGGAAAAAAAGTAAATAAATGGAGATAGCTACCAAGTCAATGTAAGAATATATAGTAAGCCATATGAGGAAGGCCACTAAGTCCAGTGGCATGGATGTAATTCACTTCAAGGCACTGTGCCAATTTATGCCCTAATCTCTGCCAGAGTATTTTTGGGCCTGGTCTCCGTGGTTGTTGATTAATCTGTCTTCTTCCATCTCCCTGTAAGAGGGTATTTAGCCCAAGGAGACATATGAAACTGAGCAAGAATTTATTTCAGGGAGTGGGCTTAATGTTCCTGACAAGACGGAAAGTTACCAGCTGGGTTACCTTCTGCATCTAGCCCACATCAAATATTTTTATCTTAATGTCTATTAGACCAAGCATAGATGAAAGGTAGATTTTTTTAACTTTCCTTAAAGCTGTAGCAATTGAGAAAGAGGCCATATGTTGAGTCGTATTTCATATTGAAGCAGTCTGTATCTAAAAAGGCACAAAGCCTTTACAGGTTTCTAGTATGCTAGTGAGTACAATTTTAATGCCATTTTTATAGCAATAATTTCATTCTTGAAGGCTGGTTGTTCAGCTGATCTGGTTGGCCTGGTTATATTATAGGATATGGGATGTCTCCCTGAAACTTACAGGTTAAATGTAGAAGCCTTGTTAGAAAGGGTAGGATCTAAAGACATTTATGGCTTCCAACCACAATGTTCCTGCTGCTGTGGAATGACTGTGAGTGCAGTGTTTTGAAACAGCCGTGCAAGACCTTGCAGAATAATCTGTGCTGGGATTATCAGAGCAGCAGTGTAAGGTGCCTAAGTGTTAACAGATGTTTTTGAATTCTTATTACAAATTCAGAGCAAAGTGGGTCTTAGCCCCAGTTAGATTATTTTGTTTCCTTTTACTCCAATATTAGATAGAGCTTCTTAGCATATTATTTTGCTTATTGTTTAGTCGTTTAGTCATCTTGCTTGCCTCTGTAAATCTCTGCTGAGACCATATGGAGGATTCTCTCTGGGGAATGCCATAGAATAATACCTTGTCACTCTGATTTACAAGGTGTGAAAGTAAGCACTGCACCCCTGCCATATCATTTTTGTCATCACTTGATTTAGTCCATGGGAAGGCTTTTTTGAGGCCATCACCAAGGAGGTATCTTCATAGCTGTATTCAGTGTATGTGACACAACTTTTCAGTTTTTACTTATGTAAAACCTTTTTTTTACCACAGCAAAGGCGCGAGCTTACTTCAGTATCATTAAATTTGAGGTGGAAAATCAAAATGCAGCTCCCAGTCGAAACTGAACTTTTACTACAATGGAGCATGGGTGATACATCCTGTGTTGGCATTGTTAAAAACCTAATCTTCAGTGCAGGGTTTTGAAGAACCGTATTTTTTTTTCAGGATTGAGATCGTATCATGTACCAAGCCATTTAGTTTTCATCTGTCTGCTTACAGAGCTCTAAATGAATTGCAGTTATACTGATTGGTTTCATGAGAATGATGATCCTTGTCAGGATCTGGCTTGAGACCAGCACTTTAATGTAACCAAAAAACTAAAAGATGTCCTTTGTTAAGCTATGGTCTGTGCTGCAAACAGACAGATGTCCTTAAGGTAAATCTCTGTATGCAATTGACATGCTTTTCAGCCCTCAGAAGTCTTTGGACCAGACATCTTAACTATACTGATATTGTGTATGTTGAAAGAAACAAAAAGATAAAGTAGAAGGGCAATAGGCAGCGTGGAACAGCTGACAAAGCTGGAGGAGCGGCAGGGAAGGCAAAAAGAGTCAGTGATTAGTAAGCAGCTCGGGAAGGCAGATCTATGAACCATGAACCAGCAGAGAAACAAACAGTTTGATAAGTTGGAAAAAAAAATGCATGAAAGTGGGTTTAGCTGATGACAACTGATGGCTGTCATCAGCCAGTCAGGCATTGCTCCAAAGCACGAGGAAGAGCAGCCTGCCAAAGTGCTTATCCCAGCCTCTTGCCAAAATCTGGGCTCTAACAGGAAGAACATTGGCGCCAAGGAAACTGCAATAGAGGCTGTTTATTTTCATTCTCAAGGTTTGTTAAATGTTTAGCTACATCCATCTCTGTAACCTGGGGCAGTCGTCTTCTCCTACCCGCTTGCACACAACCTGTAAGCAGTGACACAAGCCTTCTGTGGAAAGAACTCTGAATTCCTTCAAGGCTGCTGGCTATGACTGAGGGACAGTGCTTATCGTGGGCATCAAGGCCAGACTAATGCTCACCCACACAAGCACAGAAGTATGTGCTGGTGCAGTAGTTATCAGGGACACTGTGGCTACGGTAGTGCCTACCTACACAAACATGCAAAAAGTATTTGCTAATATAGCAGCCTCCTCCTGCCAGCTCATTCTAATGAGGAAGCTTATGAAGAAATGAAGAATGGGATATATGATGGGCACATTAATGTCCTTCCTGAGCCTTAGCATGTACTATATTTTCCAAGATACAAATCATGCTGATAATCTCTAGTGCACAAGCACACAAAACTTGAGAAGCTTTTCTTCTACATTTTTTCACGTTGATCAGATTGCCAACCAAATACTAAAACACACTGCCCACTGCAACTGCATGAGGCAATCTCTTATGCCAGAACAACAGCTATCGTAAACATTCAAAAATTTTACTATATCAGGCACTTTTTGAAGCTGAAACTTATGCCTGTTGTACTGATGGTATCAATGTACCACAAGCTAAATAAAGAACTTTTAAACTCACATGATGCCAACTTCACATTTCCCTATTCTTTATTATCTCTAGTCTGATTTTGATGTGGCTGGTTTAATTTATCTGTGTATATACATACTTATCGAGATAGGATTATTGCACTGAGATATGCAAATGTAAAACAGAAAGCACTTTCAAGCTGTATGAAATACACATCTGTAATACTAATACTGCTTGTGAGACGATGCTATCTTTATAGTTAGAAAATATGGTTAAACAGGAGGGTGTATTTGATGATTTTATCCCATTTTATCCATCACCTCAGATATATCGATAACAACAATAACAAAAAAATACAATTGTTACTTTTTTTTCTCAAATTAAATTCTTCAATGATAAAAGTAGAATTTATCCTGGAAACTGAATAAAATACAAGGCCAGTTTAGAAAACATTTCTAGCAGAGTTTCAAGAAGCTGCAGTGCTGGCTGTTGGTAGTATGGTCGTTGTTCTGCAGACAGTGGTAACTTAGTGCAGTAATTTTCTCTACTGTTGATGTGGATGAAGGAATGAGAGCCGTGATCCCGGTCCATTTGTGCATGTGACATTATCTCCATCTTGTATGGAGATTAACCATTTTATTGGGCACCAAGTTTTGGTCTGATCACACACCTTGTGCTCATTCTTCTTTTCTACTGCATCAGCTAGGGGCAGACTGTTAAGATTTTAGATACTGTATTACATGAATTTTGAAATTTGCTTTAAAATCCTATCAACGTTGCTTGCAGATAATGTTTTCAAAGGCATCTCAGAGGAGCTGGCTCTCACATACAAAGTTTCAGTGAAAAACACATTGCTGAAAGTAGTACATGAAATTAGTTTCTGTAATTGTGACCAAAGTGACTTTGATTCAGTGACTGAGAAATCTTCTCTTCTGACTCCAGGAGGAAGCCTTTGATTTCTCTGCACCCACCACCACCTGCAACAGCACTGTGGGTCCTTCCGCCTCCCTGCGCCGATCCTTCCATCTCCAGAGGTACTGCAGTTGGTTCCTTCTCAACTGGTAATTACGTACGGAGACTTAGCAAACGTATTATTTCCCAAGATGGTATGTTTATCTTGTGAGGATGTGAAAGGAGGAAAGAGGGGAAACAGTTTTTCTGTGCAGTCTATTGCCATCCACTGAAGAGATTTCCCTGAAATGAAAATGAACCCTCCGCCAGGTCAGCATTTCCTTTGCATGTTGCACTCAGGTGCACGTCACAGAGAGTGACATCCAAACAAAATATATTTGTTAAAATAGCTCAGAGATTATATGGTCATTAGGACTGTAAACATAAGAAAATATCTAGGCCTGTACAGAAACTTCAAGATTTAGAGCTGATTTAATTTCACTGAATGTTTAATCAGTTATAGAGAAAGCCCAATATTTGTCCCCTTAAGCTGAGAATACTAAATATTGACTTCCTAGTTTGATAGAATTAAAATATATATTGTTTTTCAAACGCTATTAAAATGGCCTTTCATTTTTGCAGTCATAAGAATTAGTTTGGGAAGTCATTTGTTCAAAGCTTCAGATTCAGCTGCATAGAAAACTAAATTTATCCCTTATGCTTTAACGAACCTGACTAAAGCATGCTACAAGGATGTGAGCTTCTGGTCCATAATTTCACTAGCAGACTGTATCCTCTATAATGGACAGGCTGATCTGCTATTCCTAATAGTCTGTTTTTTATGTTCTGTAGTGAAACAAATTACACAACCATGATTCAAGCACAACACAGTAAAAGACAAGGCCAAAATAAAAGCAGTGATGGAGCCATTTCTGAACTAAGAACATTTTGAGTTACTAAGGGATGGAAGACTTTGGCAGCTAGATGGGTAAGGCAAGCTCAGTAATTGTCTAAAGGAGCCTGAAGACGTATCAGAATGAATTCAGTAGAAGTCATGTAGCAACAGCTACTGATTTTATTTTATTGTATACCAACTACTGTTTTTAGAATGTAAACTTCCTTCCCTCAGATATCTGATGGGGAGAATTTTCACAAAGGTGAAAAAGTCTTATTCTTTTCTTTAGTAAGCCTTATATTTTATGAGATTATACAATTGATACAATTATAGTAGAATACAGTGGGTTTTATCCAGAGGCCATTATTTTATTTCTCATTGCTTGAACATTTTGCTTACATTTCCTTTCTGAAATCCATTGACAATTCAGGGCAGTAACTCACAGAAGAAGAATTGGTACCACACATAACCAGGCTCTAAACTACAGCATTTGTCTATCAGTAACACAGTGTAGTATTTGGCACACACCTTTATCATAGGCATTACCAAAGGCACACCACAAAGTTATGTTGAAAGGCTTTTCCTAAATAAGGATTAAAAGGCAAAATACCTTGAAATGCCTCTCCTACACGTATCTGAAGATAATCCACAGCATAATCTGTCATGGCATGCAACTGAAATCCACTAAACCCATAGGCAGAGAGTCCTCAGCAGGACACAGCTCCCTCTTGCTGCAGGCACTGCTTGGCTCTGCCGCAGGGTGGAAAGCTTGCCCTGCCTCCCTCCCTTCCTCCTGAAGTCCTCAAGGGAAGGGCGGGTGTCTGCCAAGGGGGGAGGGAAGGAATATGAAATGAGAAAGGAATCCAGCTATTACTGTAGAAACAAGTGCAGTTTTTAAAAAAATCAATTAATACATAAAAGTTTAACGGTTGGAAATGTGTCACTTTTTCCAATCTCTTTATGTTACTCTACATATGGGGGTACATTGCCTAGCAGTTTGGAGAGAATAATAAAAATGACTCCAAAAAACAGGTGGAAATAAGACCAAAAAATTAAGGCAAACTGAAATGAGGCAATACAGGGCAGCAGCGACAGGCTGAAAACATGAATTGTAATGCAGTATCACCCTCTGTGCCACTCTGCCATTAGATGTACCAGGAAATGTTGTTAGAATGGAACAGAACAGAATTTATGGCTGGGAGTCAGTTTGCCCTCAAGTTCTTTTACTCTGTTGTTCTGCCAGTAGTTAAAGGGCACCTTCTCCTGCCACAACGGCAGCTACTCATGCCACGTTTCAGGCACTTCTCTCGTTGGCCTGTCTGGCCTTGAATAGCATGAATTAGCTTGTGGCCAGAAACTCTTCTCCTATCAATTTGTCATTAGCCCCTATGTCATACAGCTAGGAAGGCATGGCAGGAGAGACTGCTAACAGAGACACCATCAGATCTAGTATGAACACAGCACAGAAGGCTTTAGCAGGAGGAATTCTGCATCCCCAAAGTTGTGTCCTGTCATTTTTTTCTGTGGCTAGTACTTGTTTTCTGATAGGTTGAGATACAATTCATGATTTTTGACAGAGGAAATGAACACAAGCTGTATGTTGTTTATCATCTGACATTGCTGAAAACTATACAGCCAGAAAGACTTGAAGTGGTAACCAAACTGCAAAATGGGAGCTTAACAGTCCCAAAATGCATTTCAATGGAACGTTTGTGTAGTCATCCAAACTGTTTCCTATTTTTGTTTAGAATTTTGACTCTTTTAAATCCTGCTTGGGTAGCTATTTGTATTTCTCCTATGTTTACGTTCCTGGCAGCAATAGGCTTACGTCTTAGGATGCTGGGTGGTCTATGTAAACATTTCTGTGCCACTAACACCTCCTACTTCCAGAGAGCTCACGAAATGCTGGAATATCAAGTTAGCAATTATAAACTTGCTAACGGAGCTCTTGGACTGGATGATTTTCAGAGGTCCCTTCCATCCCCTACAGTTCTGTGATTCTGTAATCGCAACAGAGGATTCACTTTCCTGAGCCCAGGAAAGTTCAGCTCCTTGTGCTTCCTCTACAGCCAAGAAGAAATTTCTATAATGCGATTCAGAGCAGAAACCAAAGATTTAAAGCTAAGATGTAAGTGCTGATTATGATTCTACAGAGTAGGTCTGACTACAGGGGGGCTCAAGACACAGCATCCTTAGGCTGCAGATGTCCTCATTTTCTATGCCAGGATTTTTTTTCTATTTAAGAAAAGGAATTCCAACAAATCAAAACAAATACCAGTCATTATAAGGGGGAGGGAGGGGAGAGAACAAGAGGAGAAAGCTGCTGATCTCATGCTTCCCTGCCGAGAAAATGAGGAAAGGGTGGAGAATGGCCTGGATACCTGATTATCTTGTAAGATAGGATGGGAACAATGAGGCGGCTGGTTTGAGCCTGAGCAGAGCACTTTCATTTTGGCACTTCAACCAATGGCTGGCAGCATTTTCTTTTTTAATGTCAACATTATGTGCACAACTTCAAGGTAAGCTTTCCAACTCTCTCAAGTTAATTGATACATCAGGAATTCTGTACTGGAACATCATGTCCTGAATGATGAATAAGAAATATTGCAAATATATACGTTGTCTTGGAGGAGGATCTAGAAAAGTCCAACTGCATTCCGAAAGTGTTGGGCAGAAACTGATGATTTCACTGCAGTTATTTCCTTTAGTGTGTGCCTCAGACTGATTTAACAGCGGGATTATGTCCTCTGCTGTAGTTTTGATGAGTAAATCATAGAATCATAGAATGGCTCGGGTTGGAAGGGACCTCAAAGGTCACCAAGTTCCAACCCCCTGACACAGGCAGGGCTGCCATTCCCTGGATAAAGTACTACATCAGATTGCCCAGAAAATACAGTCCTGTCTCCTAAGTTGGATCAGCTTTCATCTCATGTGTAACTTACCTTTTGGTGACTGGTTGTATATTTTTATACAAAAGAAGAAAGTGCTTTTTGCTCTGAACATAGAGTTGTCTGTTGCAATATAGCCTCAAGGCTTCAAAGTGGAGGGTTTTGTATCTGATACAAGAGATTGTTGGTACAGAGACAGATTCTACTGATCACTTGGAGCAAATAAATGTTACTTACCAGTAGCTGTTGCTCTTGGGATACATACGATTCATCCTGCACGTATCCTAATGCTGTAGATGAACATTCACCTGTGATGCAGGTATCACAGACTCTAGGCACACATCATCTTCTACCTCACAGGTACACTCAGCCCCTGCTTTTCTCGTGGCCATACAGGATGAAGTGATGCTGTCTCAGCCAGCATCTGCTCAGTGAGGAGTGGGGCACAATCAGTGAATGCTCAGACATCACAGAATTTCAAATGTTTAAATAAAAAGACAAGAGAAATGTCTTAGCAGAGCCAGTCTGGCCTCCAGCTGCCACTTCAGATCAATGCAGTTCTGCTGTAGGTTATCCCATCAGTCAGTCTGGTGGAGATTTTATTGGGAATGCGGAGTGTGTCACATGGGGCAAAATGTCCTGTTTGATCAGCCAAAGCAAGCAACTCAGTGACAATTACTGACTAACTGCTACGTAATGCATTGTGTTGGGTTATTTGTTGGTGGTGTTTTTTTTCTTTTCTTAAAATACGCTGCCTGTCAAAACTATCTGGAGTAAAAACAGATGCTGGCTGTGTTCAGTGCAAGTGTCCTGACCAAAAGGGGAACCCATTGCTGTGCTCTTCTCCTTCAACATCTCCTGGCCTTAGAAGTCTTCAGAGGCTCATTAGAGCTCCAGAGTTACCAACTGTGTCCCCAGGAATAGCAGTCTTCTGCTGCACGAACCTTAAGAAGGTCTGCTCTGCACCTCTATGGGGTACTGCTGCAGTTTATCTAACCCAAGGCTTGTAAGGCCCTCCATAAATGCATTTTTATAATCAGACTCTTCCTGTGCACAATGAGTGGGTGGAACTGCAAATAAGAGCTGCTGTCATACTGAAGTTCAAAATGACAAGGTTTCTTTCTTGCCTAGGCAGCACTGACCTCACACAGCACTGCCGTGAGACAGAAGACTGAGAGCTGCCAAGGGCAGCCGAGGGTTTTGTGTTGTGGGGGTGTAGCTCCAGTTAGCGTTCTGTGTCTCAGCGCTGTGCTACTTGATTGTAGCTGTAGCTGCTTGATTGTACTTCACTCTGGGAAATCAAAAACTGACTTCATCACATCCAGTCAAATCAACCAGATCTTAAATTCAGTGCTTGAAACCTGGAGCACTTCCTGTGTTTCAGCAACACTTTCTAGGTTTTAGTGTCAGTTAATGTTATCATGTGAGCAATAACACTGCATTCATTTTACCAAAAATGCGCCAGAGATAAGGAAATAATTCAGCTCTATAAAGGGAAATCTTGCGGTGCCTTCAGCTGAACCTCAGAAGATCCTGACTCCCATTCATTGCTTCCATTTACTTCATTCCAGTTCTTCACTTTGTGCAGCTTTACGTTCAGGCACAAAATAAATAAGGTGGAGAGATGGTGACAGCTGTGTTTGTTTATAAGCAGCATAAGCAGATGTAGCAGCTCTGTGGGGGAGGACGCCAAGCGCAGGAGAGAAGTGTTATGAGGAGCCCTTAAGGATGGCTGTGTGCTCACCTAGCAGCGTAACTGCGCCTCCTCGGTCTCTGTTAGCAGTGCTTCTGTGACATGATGCTATTTGATTTGATGCGATTTGAAGAGCAATCTTTCAGGGAAAACGTTTCCTAAGGGAACTCTGAGCCATGCTAGCAAAGGAAATGCTGCTCCTCGGTGAGAGTGCTCCTGCCGGTTAGCCGGTAAAATAATATCCTCCGGAAGGAGCCGCTGCTGTGCTGTGTGCTGTGCTTCAGGCTGAACGCCTCAGCGGCCTGCAGCTCAGCGCTGCTGGGCTCCCAAAGAGGGCGAATGGCAGCGGCTGGAGCTCTGGGCACAGTGGGGAGCCGTGGTCTGGCAAAGCCTGATGCTCCTCAGAAGGAGGAAAGTCTGGGAATCTCTGGGCCCTAAACAAAAATAGCTCATCTTGCTGAAAGCTTCAGTTCTTAGTGAAATCAAATGCAGTAAAAGCCTTCCTGAACAGAAGTGTGATTTTGTTCAGCTGACAAAGGGCTGCTCCTGCCTCAGTGTGGCTGTTCCTGCTCACCGTGAGCCAGGACCACTTCCTCCCCCAGCATTAAGCCCAATGGCATTGGGAGCGCAGTCCTTAAGCTGTAAAAACTCTAAAACTAAACAAATCAGAACTGATACCAGCAAATGTATAATCTGTGCTGGGTTCAAGCCCTATTTAACTTTTACCAGTGTTTGCTATGAGAGTGCTTGTAGTCAAGATCAGCCTTAAGAACATAACAGGAATCTATAAAATGTCTTAAGAGCTCTGATTCGTGTGTAAATATATGCTAAAGAAACTAGATTTGATTGTGTTGCTTTCAAAGTAATTAATTTTTAACCTGTCTTCATGCAGTGTAGACAGCTTATTTTTCAGACATTTGTATCAATTTTTGAAGAAACTGAACACATAGGAAATTCTATATATGATGTGAAGGCAGGCAACAACCTGGTATAATTTCCTTTTGTTTCTCTTGTACAGCTCATGCGTGATGTTTTTGTGGCAGAGGATAACTTTGTCCTATATTAGCTACCTAAGGAGTATTGACAAAAAATGAAACCAACAGTTTTGATTACTGAAGCTCAACATCAGGGTATGTAAGTTAATTGCTATTAATGAATAGCAACTTGATCAGGAAGCGCCCTGGCTTCACCCGCTGTTACCACACAGCGGTAAGCTGGCACGCTGGTAAGCAGTACTGCTTCTGCTTTCTCAAAAATAAGAGTTTAAGGAAACTCAGAAGAGAATGAAATCTGTTCGGAGTTGTGTCAGTAGATCCTGAAGCCAAGAGAAATATCCCAGAATGGAAGAGATCAGAAAAGGCCTCTGGAAGCCCAATCCCTGTTTGGGCAGAGCTTTCTAGCGCAGGCTGCCCAGGCCCACACCCAGGTGGCTTCTGGCTGTTTTCAAGGAGGGAACCCCACAGCCTCTGGGCAGCCCGTGCCAGGGCGGAGTCACCCTAATTCTGGAGTATTTTCTGATTTCAGACTGAACCTCCCATGTTTCCATTCATGCCCATCGCCTCTGGCGCAGACACGGGGCTCCAGGTTCCGCTGCACTACATGTGCCAGAGGACCGCCCCTCAATCTTTACCTTTTCCTTTTAAGAACAGCCAGTCTTGATGCAAACGTTTCTAGGAATCACAGTCCCTCAGGCTTTTGGTAACGCTAAGCTTAAATGAGCATACCTGGCCAGTGACACATTTACCTGGTAGTTTGAAAGGCTCCCTGTTATCCCGCTGTTGTTCTCCTTGTAGGCACTTGGTGACAGTGCTCAGGCTGTGGCACGTGGAATGAAGCAGGCTGGGCTGCAGGGCTCTCACCATGGGGTGTGTTTGTGACTCTTGTGCATTCGCACAGCTCTTCTCAGAATCCTTCAGAGCACAGCACTACCACTGGTGGCTCTGGTGGCAGCTGCTGAACCGGTTGGTGCCAAACACTGCTGCAGGGCCCCTACAGCTACTTGAGAGAGAAACCCTTACTCATGTGAATAGACTCACAGGAAGCACCTGCAGGTCCCCATGGCCACGAATGTCCCTCTGGTACAGAAGCACACTGCTGCCACTCGTACTGCCTGCTGAGCATTGGCAGGAAGCCTTGGGGGTGAGCTTGGTCTGCTCTAGGTGAAATCTAAGAATTGGTTTGGTGTGAGTAGAGTCACAACTGCCATTCCTAACATCCACCTATGGAAATAGTTTCAGCTTTCCTTCTAGACCTTCTGAGACTTGTTGCTATCATTTGTTATCCAAGCCACAGATCCTGTCTACAAGTGGCTCCCAATTACAGGCTAAGCTGAGGTGAGTGGGGAAGGCCCAACCTGCCTTGTGGATGCTCAAAGGGACACCAGCAGTGCCAGCGGAGGCACGCATCTATGATTGCTTCAGACTATGTCAACTGCGGGCTAACATGCTCCTCTGGCTTAGTCAAGATATGAACAGCCCCAGAGCAGCTGTACAGCTGCACACTGTTTGCTCTTCAGCTAGATTTTAGAAGGATGTGCTTTTTATTAGCAAACAAAAAAGATGTAATCAGCCTGCAGCAAGACTGCAGAGTGCCTGTCTGCCACAAGCAGGGATTCAGAGGACCAGTGGTCCATGCTCAGGCCAAATAAAATCTGTACACAAACACTCAGGCATGCTTACGCGGTGCATCAGAAAATTATAAAAGCAGCAGCATTTTGGTAGCTTTGACTAAGCTCTGATTTTATTTCTAGCTTCTGCCCATCATGCCCATGACCACACTTTGTAACAGCTGATGCAGCTCCAGCCACAATTCAGGCACACGCACAGCTTACGAAGGGAATGGGATTTGCTCTCACTGTCCCTGTCCAGCTTCAATATGGGAATTCTGCCCAATTGAAAAGCAGGCAGCAATTTCTTTCAGCACAGTGAGGGTACGATTCTTCCAGGAAAAGTGTTCCAATATGACAAGAAGAGACACTGCAGAAGTTCTAACAGAATTCTGGATGTGCATGTTTTCCTCTTACATTTGTTAGATGGAGCACCGGGGAGCATCGAGCAGCCCACCTATCCCAAGTGGAAAGGGAAGAGCACTTAATGCTCAGATATGTTCTCTATTTATTTATTGGAAAATAGCACTAGTTGTAATCAAGTTCCTAGCACAAAGGTCTCGGAAGGAACCATAATTCCCGGTTTGCAGAGTTTGGGTGTTTTGTTTTCGACTGCCACCTAACGGTGAGCAAGAAACCCATTTCTCAGGTTATCCTGCCTGCTGCTGTCATTGGCACCTCAGCACCCCCAGCTGCAGGTACCAGCACACAGCACCGGACAGGATTCTGCAAGCAGCAAACCCTTCGTTTCCCAGCGATCCTTCTGAACAACTCTTGCTCTAGCTACACCTCACCGACAAGCTAAGCTTCCAACATGGGGCTATTCTCTATTTATTTCATTTTTGCAGGATTTGACTGCGTGACCTGAATGCATGAAACACTCATGCAAAAGCAAGTTAAACTTCTGTCCCTTGGCTGTCATATGCACATATGTGGAAAAAAATATTAATAAGCACTCAGTGAAAGTGCAACCCACCTTCACTCACAAGTACTGAGAAATACAGTCAGTTCACACAGGACTCTCTTAAGCAGAGGGCAGGTTTGAAATATAGGCTGTTAGTCTCTCATGGCTCTGCTTTTTACTCCCTGCATGCAGAGCACACCACAAGTCTGAGCTACGTGGGATTACACAGCTTGCTGCCATCCTTACTTGCTCTGAAGCACTCAGAGATTGAACTATTCATGGCCTGCCAGTAATGGTTCCCTCGAGCCGTTCATACCGCTGTTTGCATACCTGCATCCAGCAGTGGCTCAAAGAAAGTCTTCAGTCAATGCACTCTGAATTCAGGACGGTCCATTCTGTTTTGATGAAAATTCTGTATTACTAGCTTACAGTTTCACAATGTAGAATTTTTGCTTCTAGCACAGAACAGTGCTTGAAAATTTGTAATCTACTTTAGTATTTTCTTCTCAGCAGCATAATAAAGAAGCACCCAGACCAAATCCTTAACATCCACAGACAGCAGCCATCCATCTCTGGAGCACAGAAGAACCAACTGCTTCAAGCTGCATGGCCAGAGTAAGAATAGCAGTAATGATTCCTTCTGTTTCTGAAGGGGAGATGATAGAGGGGGGAAAAAAAAAGAAACAAACAAATCTTTTTCCAGTGTAAGGGCTGGAAGGAACTGCAAATAAGTTTTTGTTTGTTTGTTTGTTTGTTTTTTTTTAAGAAAACTAACATCAGCTCTATTACATCATCATCACCCTGGGCCTTTCACTGAAAGTAGTAGTGATGGCCTGGGAAGAATAACCTCCTCCTACCTCTCTCCGATGAGGCTTCACCATAATAAGGTTTGTCAGGTAGGAACAGCTGTTTGCTTGAAACCAGGTGAACGTAGCTTGTTCATCACCCTCCTCTCCCAGTACGTCCAACAGACAACACACGCACTTGGCCTCTCCCACATCAACCAGAGGCAGTGCATTAACAGGCCTCTCTCACACAAGGACACAGCAAACACATTCTTACTGAACTGTGG